CATGGGGAGCCACCAAGGGGGAGGGGAAATGCGAAATGAGGAGGGGGGCTGGTTGATGTTGGGGTGGAAGAAGGCGATTTGGGCCGAGGGGGGGTCTCCTCTGAAGGTCTTCTCCATCCCCTTCGGTGTCAGCTGACCCCCCCACCCTCCATGCAAGAAGCCAGGGCCCCCCACCCTGGAGGAAGGCTCGCCTCCAGATGCTGAGGTCTACGCAGAGCAGAAATGGGGGTGGGGGTGGGGGAGAGTTGACCGTGAAAGGACAGGGGGGGGGCGGCAGATTTTGGGGACACGGACCTCTGGAGGAGAAGGGCAGGGCCAAAGAGCTTGGAAGGACCTCTCACCCAAAAGGGAGGGGGACTTGGGTGCCAAGGTAAGGGGGCAGGGGAGAAATGGGGGGGGCTTCTCTTGAAAGAGGACCCGGGGAGGGGGCTGCCGCCTGGAAATGGGTGAGTTGGAGGGCACGGGAAGGTTTTTATAGCATATGTCATGTCCAAAACGAAGCTGGCTGTTTGATTCGGGGCAGGGGAGAGCAAGAAGAGATTGTGTTATTTACAGCAAGTGTGGTGGACAATGGCGTGGGGGGAGGTCTGCAAAACGGGGCATTCTGGGGGGTTCTGGAAGACTGAACAAAAAAAATTTGGGGTGGTGGTGATGGTGGTGCTGAAGATGACTTGAAGATGTTCCAAAAGGATCTAACAGACAATAGAAGGCATCAGAAATGGTGATGTGGACTTCCATTTTTTTGGTGCTGGAGGGGGGGAGTGTTGGCTTTTGTGTGTGAATAGGGGAAGGCTCACATCCCCCCCCCTTCCTGGAGAAACCCTGAACATTTTGGAGTCCTAAAATTTGGGGGTGGGTGGGCTTTTTGAGTCTCTTGCTCTGTGGACTGTTGCCTGCCTTCGGTGGTGTGCAATTGAAGCATTTTATGATGAAGGTGGCTGGATTGTGCTTGTCTAGTATGTCTGTGTGTGTGTGTGTGTGTGTGTGTTTGGGGGGGGAATGTCCTTGCTTCTCCCTCTGCCATATTGCTGTCTTCTCTCTTCTCCCCCCACCCCCCCCACTCCAGAATCACAATCTTTTTGTAGACCCTCTTCCAAGTTAAATGACATAAGGTTCTCTTCCGTTACACAAATGTTTTGCCTTCCTATTAATCTTGCACTGGTTCCGTGGATGTGTTCTCTGTGTCTGTGTCTGTGTGTGTGTGTGGGGGGGGGGGATTGTGTGATGCTTGCTTTGGGAAGAAAGGACAGACAGATTTTCCTGTAGCCTTTCAATTTCTCCCAAGTGTGGGAATTCATCAACAATCGAAGCACAACATACATAACACCCCTTTTACTTTTAACAAGCGGAAGGTGTCGACGTTGTTCTGAAGAAAATACACTGCTTTTTGTTTTCATTTCTTGCCTTCATATTCCTGTTACTACCAGCTTATTCCCCAAGGATATTTATAGTTGGGTCTGTCCTTTTTTTCTCTCTTCTCTTCCTGCCCTAGAATAGAATTGTACATCTTTGTACAGGAAGTCCTCGACTTACAACAGTTCGTTTAGTGACCGTTGAAACTGACAACGGCATTGAAAAAAGCGACTTAGGACCGCTTTTCACAGTTACGACATTTGCAGCATCCCCGGGGTCCTGTGATCAAAATTCAGACGCTTGGCAACCGGTTCATACTTATGACGGTCGCAGAGTCCCGGGGATCACGTGATCCCCTGTTTGCAATCTTCTAACAAGCAAAGTCCACGGGGAAACCAGATTCAGTTAACGACCGGGTTGCAGTGATTCACTTAACGTCGAGGAAGGTTGTAAAATGGGGCAAAGCTCACTTCATAAATATCTCACTGAACGACAGAAAATGTGGGCTTCGTTGTGGTCATGAGCCGAGGACTACCTGTATTTCCTAGGAAAGATCTTAAATTGATCAGAGATTCTGCCAGATTAGACCCCGTGACACCAGGCACTTCTTAATGTCTTGCTGTCTTGTAGATCCTTCATTTGCTACACATGGAAAGTCTTAACAGAACGACAGAGTTGGAAGGGACCTTGGAGGTCTTCTAGTCCAACGCCCTGCTCAAACAGGAGACCCTACCCCATTCCAGACAAATGGTTGTGCAATCTCTTCTTTAAAACCTCCAGTGATGGAGCACCCACAACTTCTGGAGGCAAGCTATTCCATCAGTTTATTGCTCTCACCATTAGGAGATTTCTCCTTAGTTCTAGGTTGCTTCTCTCCTTGATTAGTTTCCATCTGTTGCTTCTTGTCCTGCCTTCTGGTGCTTTGGAGAATAGCTTGACCCCCCTTTTCTTTGTGGCAGCCCCGCAAATATCAGGAGACTGCTATCACGTCACCCCTGGTCCTTCTCTTCATTAAGCTAGACATCCCCAACTCCTACAGCCTCCTCATCTGTAATGTAATCTAATGAAGAGAAGGACTAGGCGTGATAGGATAGCAGTCTTTCAGTACTTGAGGTTCAAATACGGGCTATGAGGAAATGAATCCTGGAGAATCTATTTTGGGCTTAAAAGGCCAAAAAAAAAACAAAATAAAAATGGATCTGGCAGAAGGCAGCTCTCTAAATTCTGCATAAGAGGTGTTTGACTTAATAGGATGAATTAGACCTACAATATATTTCCCAATCTTGACAACTTCCTGGTGCGTGGACTTCAAGTAGGATTTTTTTTTTTTAACAGAGATTAATCTCATTTTTTAAATAAAAATGTCCTACTTCACCAGTGTCTCTTTTACCCTTGTCATTGTTCGGGCTTTTGAATCAGAATCTTGTGTTCCTTTGGCGTTGAGTTCTGTTAGCTCTTCCAGAGGATCAGAAGTTGCTTGAGAAGAATGAAGGGAAATGAATCTGGGATGGTGATCTGATGAGTTCGATGTATCCATAGGAATAGATCTATGCTTCCATAAAATTAGAAAAAGAAGCAAGATCTTCCAAGCCATAAACTAGTGGTCTATTTATTGGAAATTTTTTTCTCCTGTATGGATCTCCTATGTTCTCTCTGTATGTTTGTATGTATATATGAGTGTACGAATCTGTATCCATGTATCCATATCAGTATATTTACATCTATATCCATCTATATCCATCCACCCACCCATATATGGTGACATATATGATTGAATTTGCTTAAGACATTTAAGAAGGGATTAAAAGACTGAGAGGCACAACAGACTGAGTTGAAGGCAGATAATTCTGGACTGAATCTTCCCCTCTGCTAGATAAGAGAACTTGTTGACACTTATCCGACCGATCAACCTACCTATCTACCTACCTACCTATCAATCAGAGAATCTAGGTAGACTTTTAGGGCCCAAGGCTTGCTTTGCTCCATAAACTGGATATGGTAGTCCACAAAGACTCGGTCAGTTTTTATGGAGTTTTAAGGGCTTCCAATTAGGGATTTTATCAAGGCTGTTGGGTTTTTATGCTGTCTTTTTTTGGGTGGATCTTCAAAGTGTCTTTATAGTTTCTACTCGCGGTGAAGAAAGCAAATCCAGAGCTGCCTGTGGGGCATTTGAGAGGCAACTCCTCTCTCTTTCTCGGGTTCCACTCAAGGCATCACCCTGCTGGGTCATTCCTGCCTACAAAGAAAGGGGCCCAGCGTGGTTGTAACTCAACCTTTCCGTCAGGTCTAGTTGTTTTCCTAACAGGTTCTCTGTTCCCAGAGGGGTGGTTTTTTTTTTTTTTTTTCCGTCTGCAAGATGCTAGACGTAGCCCTGGCACAGGAGATGCTCTCCAGGAACTTGGCTGTTGTAGAAATGCATTTCCTGACTTCTCAGAGGTAATGGGGGCAGGACTTGGCTGTGTACTGGAGCAAAGTTGGCGCGCTGCCACCTGATGTGCGCGGAAGAGGGCTGGCTGCTTTCTCCTGCTTTGTATCCCCGATGGTTCCTGGTTTTCTTTGTCCTCCAGCTTCTCACAAACCTTGCTTGCTTGCGGGAGAAGTGTCATTCCCAGGTGTCCGTCTGCCTACCTGGGGGTTGGTGCCGCGGTGCCTTCAGGAGGCGACAACCTGCCTCACAATTATCAGAGCCTGTTATAATAATAATAATAATAATAATAATAATAATAATTTAATTTATATACCGCCCTTCTCCCGTAGGACTCAGGGCGGTGCACAGCATATTAAAACAGATACAAACAAAATACATCAAAAAAACCCCATAAAACCAAATTAAAAACCAAATATTGGAAGCTGTGTGTCAATTAAAATTTTCTTAAAATCATCCCTACCTAAAATCCTCCCTAGGTCAGGCCCGCTTGCTGGAAAAGCCATGTCTTGAGGGCGCGGCGGAAAGTAAGGAGATCCGGAATCATCCGGATCTCGGGGGGGTAGTTCGTTCCAGAGGGTGGGGGCACCCACAGAGAAGGCCCTGTTGCTAGCCATTTGTTCCTTCCCCATAGTATCCCTCACCTCTTCAGCTTTACCTTGGCCAGCCATCCTGGTTTAGTTAACCCACTTCAGGCTAGGTTGCACACAGATAGCGGAATTGGCTGTTTGAATGAAGGAAAAGTGTTTAATTTTAGTTTTGTTTCTGCTTCTGGACTGTTAGTGGGGGGGGGGGAATGAAACTTTGATTTTAGGTTTGGATGCTTGGAAGGATTTTGACCTGAATGCAGGTAGCCCTGCAAGATTAAAATACAAAATCCCAAAAGAGAGAGAAAAAAATGAATACCATTTCTCGCCAGTCTTTCTAACCTGCCCGTCCTTTGTGTCCCTTCCAGTTCACACCAGTGTGTCTCTGTCAGAAACCGGGCACGCCAGATGGGTCTCTAAGGAGTTGATGGTTGCCGGTCCATTCATGAGTTAAGGTAGGTCTTGAAATCCATCTCCTCCACCAGTGTCTTCTTCCCTCCCTTCCTGTATCCTCTCCGCTTTCCCTGTGCTGTGGGCGCTCAGCTAATTTTAAAAACGCTTCCTCTCGTACACATACAATTTTCCACGTGGGTGACGGGAGGAAAATAATTATTAGCATGTTGGATCTTGGTAATTAGAACAACAAAGTGTCTTGTCACCCTCGCACGGTGGCGGCTGCAAACTTCTGACTTCCCCAGGAATAAGGCAGGAAGAGGGGTCCTGCTGTGTGAGGCAGCAATGACTGACAGCTGTCGCCCCGCCAGGGATCTTAGCCCGTGGTCTTGGTGAGGAGAGGGCATGGACAGTGTGTTGGCTAGGCGGTTCCTGGAGGGACCAAATTACAAAGTTCCTCCTTTTAAGTTCCAGATGGGAAGGGTGTGGTTAAGACTCGTTGCACCTAGGAGCAAATTATGAGAAAGATGGTATGTATTTAATTCTACACGGACTAACTGCGGCAAGAATTGCTTTTGCCCAACGTTGGACAAATGAAAATTTACCAACGGAAGGAGTATTAATGAAGAAAATTTTAGAGTGTGCAGAAATGGACACTTTAAAGATAAAAGAGAAAGAAGACTCAGTGTATTTTAGAACATGGGATAATTTCTATCAATGGCTAGAAAGATGAGTTGGAGAGAAAGGAATGTGATATGTAACTTTGAATGTCTATTAGTAAGAAGACTATCGAGCAATTAAGTAACATATTGTTTGTGATAATTAACTATTATCTATTATTTCTTGTTAAACACATGAACCCAGACATTGTGCTGTTTGCTAAATATTGAGAATGTTATTTGGAAAAACCCCAACCCTAATCCTAATCTCAATCCCAATCCTAACCCTATAAAAACTAATAAAATTTATACCAAAAAAAAGACTCATTGCACCAACAATGCTAAGCTATGACGTCAGCATTTAATACATCAGAGACCCCACAAGGTGTTGTTGGTCACCTTGACCTCAGGCAAAGTCTATCCAAGGGTCTCTTCGCCTGACATCAACTAAGTTTGAAGGCTGAGTACTGAATGAGGAGGAGAGACCGTAATATGCATGTTTTGAAGTATAACTCTACTCAGGCCTCGTTTAAGTGGTCCGTGGCTGGTGTTCTGGATTGTGTCGACATGCCACGTGTGATATATGTTAAATCAAGGGGAGAATTGTAAGCTGGCGATTATTTGGGGCTTGTTTTATGGCATGGGCCTACTCCAAGAGTAAATCTTGAGTGAAACACAGCGATAGTAAATCTCTTTTTATTATTATTATTATTATTATTTATTAAATTTATATCCCGCCCTTCTCCTTGCGGACTCAGGGTGGCCCCTCTTTTCCCCTTGCTGTAAAAACCTCAAGAGCTCGCTCGAAGGATTAATCTAAATCCCGGAATTGTTTTCTTGTCTGAAGAACGATACTAGGTCCAAATGATACTGACATAAGCTGGAGGAATTTCTTTAGCTTTGCGGAGAAGGCGTGGAGGAGAAGAGCCAGCTTGGGAGAGGATCGTCTATCGCGCAGGCAGAATAAAAGGAATGGTGTCTGTAATAGTATCTTTCCGGCCAGCTGTTTCTCTTGGGCACTCTACGAGCAAAAAGCTGGCACCTGTAGTAAAAACAGAGATTTTGCTGTTGGTCACTTGGAAGTGCAAAAGGCAACTGAGCTTTGTTGTTGTTTTTTTCCTTTGAAAAAAAGAAGGTCCAGTTGCCTTTTGGGGGGGGGGGAAGGGAAGCACCCTTGGGACAACTTGGGACTGTGTTGAGGTCTTGATGGCTGTTTTCCTTTCTCTTTAGTCTGTAAAAAAAAGAAAAAAAGCCTCCAGCACATTTCCAACAAGGTTTATCAGTGGATGGAATAAAAACTCAGGTCACTAAATGGAGCGTGGGGTCTCCTGCTTGAGCAGGGGGTTGGACAAATGCTGCATTGTTGCACATTAGATCCCCATGTGAGAGCTTCTCTTTAGTAGCAACTCCTTTAAACCGTTGGTATTTATGTCCTCCTTCAATACATCAGAAAAGCACGCCACTCATTTTCAAAAAGTTGGAAGGAAGATCCAGATTTTGGAGGAAGACGAAGAAAAAAGTAAGCCGTATGTATCTTCAGATAGTCCACCCTTATAGCAAATCAGGGTTTCATTCATGGTTTCTTAGCCAAAATAACACTATGGCAAAGAAATATGTCTGCAAAATAATATTTTGCTTAATGCAGTGCTGCATGTACGGTACCACACGTACAGCACCGTACGTACAGCACCGCACGCACAGTGTCGCACGTACAGCACCGCACGTACAGTACTGCACATACTGCACATGCGGTACGTACAGTGTGGTGCTGATTAGGGGGGACATGGTAGCAGTCTTCCAATATTTGAGGGGCTTGTCACAGAGAAGAAGGGGTCAACCTCTCCTCCAAAGCAGCTGAGGGCAGGACAAGAAGAGCGGTGTCTACTGATAGCTGATTTGGAACTGGAGAACTGAAAAGCTTCTGTCCATTATCCAAAACAACAAAACTCAGCGACTGCTTGAATCAGCAATACCTTAACACCAAGTTGTGATCTCCAACGTCTTTTCCTGAAATTCCTCTCAGTTTCTGTTAGTTACACGTTTAGTTTATGGGCTGGGAGTCTCTGTTTTCAATCAGTGTCTGAAAAAAAGAAATAGTACGAAGAATGCAGCAAATACCTCAAAGGTGCTCGTTCCTTTTTTGAACTATTTTTTTTTCCCTTGAAGAAGAAGAACATTTCACTTATCACCAGAAAACTGAACGAGAAGTGAAACAAAGTCCAGTTGCCTTTTGGAAAAGCATCTTTGAGACAGCCATGACCTGGATTGACTGACAATCTCCTTAGTCATTTCGTGCAGCAAATACGCCGTATCGAAGGCTATTATATATATCTTTTTCCGACGTGCCCCGCTTTTCTTGCTTATTAAACTGGAGTTTTGTTAACCCCTGGCTGTGTAATCAGGGTTTAATTTCTGGGTAATCCAGCCAATTGTTCCAAAATAGGGGTTTTCGCTTTGGCAGAGGGGAAAGTCCAGCCAGCTTCTGCATTCTGCTGCTGCAGATCTACCAAAACAAGGCTTCCCCATTTTTTTCTGCTTCCCTGTTTTGTTTGTTTTTTTAAATATATTTAAAGGTAGAATCGTGAGAAAGAGATGGGCTATTTCTGGGTGACCGCTGCACGCGTGTGTGCCTGGCCAAACTACTTTGTATATTTGGAGCAGGGGATTAGAATTGTGTTCTGGTCCTCTACACACACACACACACACACACACAAATCGGGAAGACCGGGAAGAACAAATAGAATTAAAGCTTCTTCTTTTTTTTCTCCAGCTGTTTCCAAGCGTTGGGCTAAACCTCACCTTGCCCTCTTCGTTGGGTTTCTGCTATTTTCTATCCAACCCAACCCGCCCAGTCGTTGTGCTGCTTTTCAAGACTTAAAAATAACAAGGATTTTATTTTGCTTTTCTTCACGCACACCAGCCGTGGCCTCTCTTAATTTCTCTTCCCTTGTGTGCGGGGCCTTTTGTGTCTCCGCGCCAAGCCTTTTGGGAGGGTGGCGTGGCAGGTTTTTTTTTTTTCCCCTTTCTCTTTTCGGCGACACGGATCCTCTCGGGAAGTCCCTTCTGGGCTGGGATTAGCCGAAGCTCCCGTGGGCCCACCGCAAAGCTCCCAGGCGTGTTGACGGTTTGCTTTCCGTTCACCTGGGAGGGTGTTTTGGTGTGACAGGCTCCGGTGTCCTCATCTGCCTCCTGGCAAGACAACAAGGGCCGGGCTTCACCATCTTAGGTGGACTTCGGCTCCCAGCATTTCCCAGCCAGCATGTCCCAAATGAAACATCTGCAAGAAAACCACCAAGCTCAGAGAGAATCAAGGACCCCAAAGTCTTCCTCCTCTGCCTTCTCCTCCTCCTTCTTGTCCTTTTCTATCTTCTGTCTTCTTCTTCTTGTCCTCCTTTTCTATCTTCTCCTCCTCCTTCTTGTCCTCCTTTTCTGTCTTCTCCTTCTCCTTCTTGTCCTCCTTCTCCTTCTTGTCCTCCTTTTCTATCTTCTCCTTCTCCTTCTTGTCCTCCTTTTCTATCTTCTTCTTCTTGTCCTCCTTTTCTATTTTCTTCTTCTTTTCCTCCTTTTCTATTTTTTCCTCCTTGTCCTCCTTTTCTATCTTCTCCTTCTCCTTCTTGTCTTCCTTTTCTATCTCCTTCTCCTTCTTGTCCTCCTTTTCTTTCTCCTTCTTCTCCTTCTTGTCCTCCTTTTCTATCTTCTTCTTGTCCTCCTTTTCTATCTTCTCCTCCTTCTTGTCCTCCTTTTCTTCTTCTTGTCCTCCTTTTCTATCTTCTCCTTGTCCTTCTTGTTCTCCTTTTCTATTTTCTTCTTTTCCTCTTCTATTTTCTCCTCCTTGTCCTCCTTTTCTGTCTTCTCCTTCTCCTTCTTATCCTCCTTTTCTATCTTCTTCTTCTTCTTCTTGTCCTCCTTTTCTATCTTCTCCTTATCCTCCTTTTCTATCTTCTTCTCCTTCTTGTCTTCCCTTTCTATCTTCTCTTTCTCCTTCTTGTCCTCCTTTTCTATCTTCTCCTTCTTCTTGTCCTCCTTTTCTATCTTCTCCTTCTCCTTCTTGTCCTTTTATTCTATCTTCTCCTTCTTGTCCTCCTTTTCTATCTTCTCCTTCTTGTCCTCCTTTTCTATCTTCTCCTTCTCTGCTCCACACCTCCCACTCCCTTCTAGCACTGATGACGTTACCTAGTTTATGACGGTTTGCAGCGTCCCGGGGTCACGCGATCCCCTTTTTCCCCTTCCGACCTGCAGAGTCAACGGGGGAAGCCAGCTTCGTTTAACGACCGTGTTACTAGCTTAACCCCTGCAGTGATTCACTTAATAACTGTGGCAAGAAAATACAATGGGCAAATGTCTTGCTTAGCAACAGGAAGCTTGCGCTTCATCGTAGCCTCGTTGTAGGTCAAGGACTGCCTGTATTATTATTTTTTTATGTTTGTATAAATTGGGAGGGAGAGGTTATTTTGTTACACAACTCTAGTGCTGTTTTGGTTTCCGAATTTGTGTTATTTTTAAAACTATGTTTCTGTGTTGTTTCTGAGTACACAAAGTAACTCAGTGGCTACTTTATGATTTATCTGTATCTGGACTGCAGAGAGTTGGAAGTCAAGTCAGATTGTCGCTAAGGGGTCTTACTGCGTCTTTCCTTAACCGCCTCTCCACCTCTCTGCAAAATCGTTCCTCTGTGCTCTTTTTTTTAAAAAATAAAATAAAATCCTTTCTACCTTTTTCTCATAGTTTTCCCACTTCCCTGGCTGCATCTGGATATTTTTAGCCTGTCTGCTTCTCTCTCTTTCTCTCTCTCTCCTCTCCTTCCCACTCCTCAAATTTGTTTTTATCCGTCTGAAGCCAGGCTGGCATTCTCCCAGATTGCTCATTTTTCACTCCTGTGCGTTCTGCTTTACTCTCTCTCCATCTGTTTCCTCTTCCGGGGGGGGGGGGGCTTTTTCAGACCACCTTGTTTACTCGCTCTCCCTCCGTCCCGTGGGGTTTCCCACCTTGCCTTCACCTTTCAGTGCCAACGGGGCTTGAAGGTTCAAGAGGCTGAATGAGAAGGGGTCATAAGAACGGGAGGAGCGTTGGAGAGTTGGCCAAGGAAGGTGCATAATTCTCCCCCAGACACTTTGCGTTTTAATTGGACGGCGTTCCAAATTCAGATTTAGAAGCATTTGAGCGGAGGCTCGCTTCCTTTTAACGCGCTTACCTGCTGAGCTCGACGGGAGGCTTAAAAATCCAGCTCAGAGCAAGGAATGCAGGTGTGGTGGGTCAGGTACGCAGGTAGCCCTTGAGGCATGACCACAGTTGAGCCCAAAATTTATGCCGCTAGGTGAAACATTTGCTAAGGGGGTTTGCCCCATTTTGCACTTGTTCAGTTAGTAGCACAGCTGTGAAGTGAAAATGGCTTCCCCCCTTTGACTTTGCTGGTCAGGAGGCTGCAGAAGGGGATCACGTGACCCCAGCAGTCGTTAAACGAAACACTGCAGCGAAGTTAGTCACACGGTTGCTAAGTGAATCCGGCTTTCCCCACCAGAAGGTCGCAAAAGGGGATCACGTGACACCGGGACGCTGCGACCGTCATAACTACGAACCACTGGCCCAGCGTCTGAATTTTGATCCCCTGACCCATGGGGAGGCTGCGACGGTCGTCAGGGTGAAAAACGGTCCTAAGTCACTTTTTTTTCTTCACTTTGAACGGTCACTCAATGAACTGTTGTAAGTCGAGAACTTAACCTGCACGTTCAACTCTTTGACGATTGCAAATAGAAGGGGAAAAATCCCCTGTCTTTAGCTCTACAAACTGTGAGCTGGTCTCTCCTCCTGCAGATCCTAGTTCCACTTAGACCTCCACGTAGACGAGTCGTGCCTGTCTGCTTTCTTTGCACCCACACAACTCAGGAAGGACCCTGCTCCAGAGTTACAACGGGGCAGGCGATCTTGCTTCCGGATCTAAAATCCTCACCTGATCCCTGTTCTCCCTGGAACTACGGAGCGTGTTCCCATCTCAACCAGCCCTGCTGAAAAGCTCCTCGCCCTGGAGTTTGTTTGGCCTGGAGGTGTCCATCACAACCACTAGGACTTATCCTGGGTGACAGAGCAGGGACTTGTTCATAGGGCACAAATGCCTGTAAACCTGGAAGGCTTTTTCAGGGAGGGACTGAAATTGGCTTGGAAAGACTTTTTAATGAACATTTTAACAGGTGGGGAGGGTGACGATAACGGGGATTTTAGAGGCGTCTCCTTTAGCCAACAGATTTAAAACGGCGTGTTTTGGAAAAGGCCTTTGCTGCAAAGTATTCCTTCCTTCCTTCCACCAGTCTAGAAACTTGTCGTCCTTAATTCCACGATCCTGAGCTGTCAGGCTTTGCTGTGAATGCCTGTGACAGATGGGGAAGCCACCGGCTTCCGAATGCGTCTGTGTAACCAGCTCCTCAACTCGTCCCTGTTTATATTTCTGGACGTTTCCTGCTGATGACCTGCTGGCTGGTGGGTTCCTGCAGATTCTGCTGAGTCAGAAGAGCAGGAAGGTGATCGCGGTCTTCCAATATTTGGGGGGCTGCCCCAGAGAAGAGGGGGGTCAACTTAATTTCCAGAGCATCAAGAGGGCAGGATAAGAAGCAACGGATGGAAACTCATCCAGGAGAGAAGCGACCTAGAACTTAGGAGGAATTTCCCGACCGTGAGGACTATTAACCAGTGGAACTGCTTGCCTCCAGAAGTTGTGGGTGCTCCATCACTGGAGGTCTTTAAGAAGAGACTGGACATCCATTTGTCCTGAATAGTACAGGCAGCACTTGGCTTAGCAAATTTCTGTTGCTAAGTGAGACATTTGCCCGTTGAACTTTGCCCCATTTTACGACCTTACTTGCCACAGTTGTTAAGTGGATCAGTGCAATTGTTAACTTTTTTTTTCTTTTTTCTTTTCCTTCCCCAGGACGGAGTTGATCTCGAACGAAATCATGTCAACCTGTGGGATAGACGATGACATTCCCCAGGGAGAGAGGAAAACAGTCACGGATTTCTGTTACCTGCTGGATAAATCCAAGCAGCTTTTCAACGGCTTGAGGTCAGTCACTTTTTGTCACGTTGCAGACTTGTTGAGCGAGCTGCGCTGGCTCCCACTTCCCTTGCAGGTGCAAATTTCAAGGTGCTGGTTATCACCTTGGAAGCCCTCTCTAGGCATCCTTAGCGTGTTGCTTAGCGACCAGAATCGCGACAGATCTTCCCAGAGTTACTTAGGACCTGTTTTTGAGGTTACAAAAGCCACATGTGCTGGTACACACACACAAACGTGAACGTTTGGTTGTAATATTTGTGATTTTAATCGTTTTTTTTAAAATTGCAAATAGAAGTTATTTCATCTTTTGCTCGCGAGCTGCCCAGACTTCGATAGAAGATGGGCGGCGATATAAACGATTTCAATAAATACATCAAATAAATTTTGGGTATTCGATATAACGATGAGAAACCTGTGAGAGATATTTTCCAAAGCACCAGAGGGCAACATAAGAAACAACGGGTGGTAACTAATCACGGAGAGAAACAATCTGGAATTGAGGAGAAACTTCCTAACCGTGAGGACAATTAACCAGTGGAACAGCTTGTCTCCAGAAGTTGTGGGTGCTTCATCACTGGAGTTTTTTAGGAAGAGACTGGACAGGCACTTGTCTGGAATGGTACAGGGTCTCCTACTTAAGCAGGAGGTTGGACTAGAAGACCTCCAAGGTCCCTTCCAAGCCTATGATTCTAGGTTCTGTAAGGCATGGGAAGATTAATATAATTGAAGCATCTCTTGAGTATGTCCCTCCAGCTGTCACTTCTCCTCTTCTCCATGATGGATAAATTGAGATTTTATTTTATTTTTTATTTGCTGTCTTACAGAGATTTGCCCCAATATGGGCAGAAGCAGTGGCAATCTTACTTCGGCAGGACCTTTGATGTTTACACCAAGCTCTGGAAGTTCCAGCAGCAACATCGGTAAGAGAACCATTCCCAGGGCTTGGCTGTGTCTCAGAGCAGCCTAATCCTCTCAACAACTCTACTAAATCACAGGAACCTCAGCGGGCAGGAAATACGGGCAGAAAAGGGCAGAAAGCCGAGACACAATAGTTGTGTAAGTCTGGGGAGGGGGGGGGAGAAATCCTCTCCCAATTGGCAGTTAGGCTAAGCTGCCTTTCCTAGCTCATTTAGGCAGAAAACGAGAGTCCCAAAACATTAACGAAGTAAAATCCAATAAAGGAGGATATTTGTAGCTCAGAGTTGAAGTGAGGGGTCCTTGGTGCTCTCTGAGCTGGGTGGTTTCCTTGCAGACGTTTCATGACCCAACTAGGTAACATCATCAGTGCTAGAGTAAAGAGTACTATATTGGGGACTGGAGGCTAAAACATCTGAAGAACGGTTGCAGGAATCGGATATGTCTAGTCTAGTGAAAAGAACAACTGGGGGTGACATGATAGCAGTCTTCCAATATTTGAGGGGCTGCCACAAAGAAGAGGGGGGGGGTGTCAACCTATTCTCCAAAGCACCAGAGGGCAGGACAAGAAGGAACGGTTGGAAACTAACCAAGGAGAGAACCAACCGAGAAATAAAAAGAAATTTCCTAAAGGAATAATTAAACCAGTGGAACGGCTTGCCTCCAGAAGTTGTGGGCGCTCCATCACTGGAGGATTTTAAGAAGAGACTGGGCAGCCATTTGTCCAGAGTATTATAGGGTCTCTTGAGCAGGGGGTTGGGCTAGAAGACCTCCCAAGGTCCCTTCCACACTCCTCTGTCGTGCTGTTACTTTGGGAAGTCAAATCCGAAAGACTAGTAGAGCAGCCGTGCCTTAACTCAAGTCTGACCTGCGCTTTCCTCTTTCGGGCTGGGGGGGTCACCAATGAAGACAAGTCCTGGACAATCGGTACGGCCTGAAGCGCTGGCAGATTGGGGAGATCGCCTCCAAGATTGGGCAGCTTTACTACCACTACTAGTAAGTAACTGCATGTGTGAAAGGAAAGGTTGGGGGACGGGGGGGGGAAGGCAAAATTGATAAATGCAGGAGTTCCTGTTCCTCAAACCAATCTAGAACTAAGGAGAAATTTCCTGACCGAACAATCAACCAGTGGAACGGTTTGCCTCCAGAAGTTGTGGGTGCTCCATCACTGGAGGTTTTTAAGAAGAGACTGGACAGCCATGGTATAGGGTCTCCTTGCTTGAATGGGGTTGGACTAGAAGACCTCCAAGGTCCCTTCCAACTCCGTTCTCTGATCAGAATAGAAAGGAATAATGCTAAGAATCTCAGTGAGGATTGCACTCGAGAAGACATTAGTTTGACGTTGAGACGAGGAGCTGATCCCACGCCTCTTTCCTCCCCAGCCTTCGCACGTCTGAAACCAGCTACCTGAACGAAGCCTTCTCCTTCTATTCTGCGATACGGCAGAGGTCTTACTACTCCCAGGTCAACAAGGAAGACAGGTCAGGCTTGTGAGTTTTTTTAAAAAAGTGCTTCATTGTCACTGTGGGGCTCCTGCTGGTGGGGACAGGATTGTGTGACCAGTTCTTCTGGGCTTTTGAAGGCCCCTCAACTGCTGAGGTTGGATCTCTAGAACTTAGCACAAGTGTTGCTTTGCCTCCTCTTTGGAGACTATCAACAGTTAGGACTTTTGAGAAGAAAGTCAACCTAACTATGACAACGGTGTCACTCAACAATTCTCCTAAGAAGCAAGGACTCACCTTTCCTTTTTTTTGCTAAAGGGTTCCTCTCTTCTCCGCCGTCCTTTTTTCACAGGCCCGAACTGGTGGTGAAGAAATTACGCTATTACGCTCGGTTTATTGTGGTTTGCCTCTTACTCAACAAAATGACTGTGGTCAAGGAACTGGTTAAGGTAAATCTCCTACACTCAAAGTTGTAGCTGGTGCCTGTCTTAGAGAAGACCTTTGCGAGAAATGTCTGATTCTTTTCCCAGGAACTATCCGACGAGATCGAAGATTACACCCACCGCTTCAACACCGAAGATCAGGTAGAATGGAATCTTGTCCTGCAAGAAGTAGCTGCTTTTATTGAGGTAAAGACTACAGACATCCTGCGTGGCTGTTTTGTTTTTTTACAAAATATTCCTGTTTCTCCAGGCCCCAAATCCTGATCTGTTGGGGGGAAGAAAAGAAACCAAAGGTTCTTTTTCGGACGTGTGTTTCTCAAGAATTTTTCTGTCTCTCTGTGGGGCAAATGGAAACCTGGTTTGGTTGGGTGAACGTTACAAAAGGGGACTGTGAAGGTTTTCTACCGTCTGTAAAATTTGTAACAAGGCTGGAAGGGCAGAGACTTCCCCCGGGGTACAGGCTCTCCTTACAACTGTTCCTTTAGCGGCTGTTCAAAGTTACGACAACACTGGGGGAAAAAGGGGGATTTTTTTCACACTTACGACCATTGCAGCATCAAAATGCAGGTGTTTGGCTACTGAAGCGTATTTGTGTCAGTCGCAGTGTCCCTGGGTCACGTGATCACCCTTTGGTAACCTTCCCCGCCAGTTTCCAACAAGCAAAAGTCCCTGGGTGTAGCCAGCCTCGCTTAACGAGTGCACGGCTCATTTAACAGCCGTGGGGAGAAAGATGGCAGAATGGGGCAAAAACGCGCCAAGCAACTGCCTCGCTTTAGCAAGGGAAATTTGACGCTCAGTTGTCGAGTTGGCCTTCCTGACTTCTCCTGCTGTTGTTGCAGGTTGTACCCTAAGCTTCATCGGGCCTCGATTCTCCAGACCCTTCACCATCTCGTTCTTCTTTCTTTCCAGGCAGACCCGGTGATGGTCTTAAACGACGACAACACGCTGGTGATCCTCTCCAACCGCCTGTCGGAAACGGGAGCCCCACTGCTGGAGCAAGGGATGATCGTGGGGCAGCTAACCCTGGCCGACGCCCTCCTCATTGGCAACTGCAACAATCAGGTGGGGGACGCTGTGCATTTCACCCCACACCGCAATAAACAGCGCGGTGTCAGCTGCCATACAGGTCATTCTCGGCTTACGACAGTTTCCTTTAGTGACCATGTGAAGTTACAAGCCAGGCACGATCATTTTTGAGGCTTACGACCGTTGTAGGATCCTCACGGTCGAAATTCGGACGCTGGGACACGGGCTCTTGTTTGTGACGGTTGCAGTGGCCTGGGGTCATGCGGTCTCCTCCTCCTGATCAGCATTCTGACCGAATTTCGATAACGTGACCGTGCAATGGTCGTAAGGGTGAAAAAAACACCCCCTCAAGTCACTTTCCTCAGGGCCGTGGCAACTTCGGACACCAAATAAACGGTTGTAAACTGAGGATTGTCTGTATCTTTCCGTCCCGCCAGTCTTCTGGCTTTTTAGACGCAATCCTGTTTCATCAGTTTTGTGGGGTAGGTTGTTTTACCCTTTCGATGGTGCCTGAGGTTTTTGCGTGGCGCTTAATTGTCTATACGGAGATTCTCAGCCCTTCAGGTCAAAGGTGCTTTTTGCAAAGGCCACGGGACTTTCCTCTTTCCGTGAAGGCGTTTCGCTTCTCATCCGAGGGGCTTCTTCAGTTCTGGAGAAGCTTTTTGGATGAGAAGCGAATGGTCTTCAAGGGCAAACAAAGAAAGTCCAAGTCAGAACTGAAGAAGCTTCTTGGGTGAGAAGCGAAAGGTCTTCAAGAAAAAAACAAAACTAAAGTCCATTTTCCTTTTGAAAAAAAGGCAGCATTGGGACAGACGCTCTTCTCCTGTCTTCTGCTGGCCTTCCACACACCCCTGAATTGTCCATTTTTTTGCGGGAGAGAAGCTACTTTTCAGGGCACTAAGCCTTAACAAGCTCGGGCGACTGCCCAACCTGGTTTAAAAGTGGCGCCTCGTTTCGTTGGTAGGTGAAGTTTAGCGAGCTGACCGTCGACATGTTCCGGATGCTGCAGGCGCTGGAGCGGGAGCCCATGAATCTCGCCACGCAGATGAACAAGCCGGGGTTGCAGGCAAGTCTCTGGTCCCCTATCGTCACGCTCGGTTTTCCTCGGAAGTGGGGTCAGCGCTGTGGCAGGCCTCTAGAGCGCTCGTCCCGAGACTTGTAGGTACACCCTGTCTTTGCCTGATTTACACGTCCCTGCAGTTCCTCCAGGAATGTTCAAGGCTACGGCAGACAGGCGGGGTGAGGGAGTGTAGCCAGCTCGGGATTACTCAGAGGATTTGAGTGACT